AGGGGCGCCCGAAGCTGAGGAGGGCCTCGGCCGGTGGGTGCAGGGTGTGGGGAGCCGGGCACCCCGGGGCCGGTGTGTGTGCTTGCAGAGGGGCTGCCAACGCAGGGCAGGGCAGGGCAGCAGGCAGGCGCGGCTGGGCTGGCTGCTCTGACGGGGCGAATGCCTTCGCTGGAAGCGAGCCAGCCTCTCCCGCAGCACATCCCTGCCTTCATCCTTCCCCTCCGAGAGCTTTGCGTTCCTGCCGGCATCCGGCTCCGATAACCGTGTAGATTATCTTCCATTTCACAGTTGTTCCGTCTAACTTCTCCAACGTCAGTTGTGCATGAGGGTCCTCAGTTAACCTTGGGGGTCCCTCAGCACATGTGCTGTCGTGGTGCACGGTACCACAGCCCAAGTCAGGTGCTCTGAGTCTAGCAGGAGCTAATAGAGTTTCTTTTGAGGTATTATAGAAGGGAGAGCTCAGGAGCTGGAATCAGGTCCCCGCTACCACCCCTCTGCTTGCTCCAGGCTGCTACCATTAAGGTGCCCTTGCTGACACTGCTACACTTCCTCTCCGAGGACCACCCATTGGCATGTAACATTGGCATGGATCCAAGGCAAACACGGCACCTTGTTTGCTAAATAAAGGCATGAACAATACCAGGCCTCCCTGTTCATCAGAAATGCTCCTCAGGACCCAAAGTATTCTCCAAAGCACAGCCAGGCATGAGCCTCTTCCCGGCTCTTGGGGGTGCCCACACTTTGTCTATAAGACTTTGCACTTAAATAAGAAAGATTGTGACCCAGTGATCTGGGGGTCCGCTGCGTGTCCCTCTGAACACGGGCTGCTTGAGAGGGTGGTTGAGAAAAAGAGTGCTTTGGGGGAGCCTGGCGAGGGACTTCATGCAGCCCAAGCACCTGCTGTGGGCACCTCTGCTGAGACCTGGAGTGTGGGTGGTGTGAATGCTCCTCCTTCTGCCTATCAACAAGCTGGCAGAAATGACATTGTTTAGCAACTCTGGGAACCCAAACCATCAGATTTTCATGCTGTAGCTTTACAGCATTCCCTTTGATGTGTGAACTTTGAAGACCCTTGAAGGAAAACTGTTTTCTTGTGGTTTTTCATTACACTGGTTTTGTTTACTGTAATGACAATGGAGCAAAAGGTCAGATATATCAAAACAGGCTTGCCAATCCTGTAAGTGTTGTTGAAGCTCATGTTTTACAGAAATCCTGAGAACTCCCAGCTTCCTGTGAAGTCAATTTCTGTCATCCAGGAGTCCATGATAAGTATGATAAATTTGAACTGAAAAGTCCTATCTGTTCTGTAATTCAGCGTTTTACCAAAATGGATGTAATCATATCTTGACCTATGAAATTACAGGGATTTCTTTTTAGAGAGAGTGAGAGATGGAAAATTAAAAAGCAGTCCTTTCTATTCTTTAGAAATTTTAATGAATTCAAGTACTTTATCAGACTTATCTAATAGTTTGGGTGGGAGTGAAAAAATGACTAATAGGTCAAGCTCACTTTTCTCTTTCTCAGTTTCTAAAATAAATTGACTGCTTAATCTTTCGTTGACCTGCAATACCCAGATATTACACTGTGAACTTTCCAGGAAGTGAGCAGATTTCATGGCTAATGACCAAAACCTAATTTCTAGGAAAACTTTTCATGTTCACTTTTTTCATGTAGAGAGGAGGTAGAAAGCTCAAATAAAGGAGCAAGAGCTACATCTTGACCTGGAAGTAGCTGAAGCTCCTGCCTTTGTGCTGCTTGGCCTCTGACCTAGGGATGCATTAGAGCATCATAAAATGTCCTTTGTGCACAATCAACAAAACCCCACAGTTTTGCCAAAAACTGCCTCTGCCTCAGACATAAGATATTAGTGGCTTTATATCTACGAGTTACCTTGTGAATAAGTATGCGAGAGATCATGCAGGTACAAGCTGTCTATGTTGAATATTCCTGCTCTAGCCATGCTCAGGGCACAGATCCCACTCTCCTGTTACAGTTAGACCATGTGATTTCTAACAACTAGCATGAAGATTTTTGTTCATGGATCAGGAAATCATTATACCCAAGGTAAACTAAATAGGGGTTGACATTTCCCGTGGAAATGACAGAGAAAGGCACTTTTGGAGTTCTTATCCAGACATTTCCCTAATCGGGTTTAGGGAACTTCTTGTGGCTTGAATCTCAACACTAAAAGAAAACTATTTGGGAAGCAATTGCCTATGAAACACACCTCAGAGAATTGCTTTTTTGATGACTTTAATATGATACATCCTGTGTGATGATCCTTGTGAAATGTTTATTTGAATTTTATGATGATATTTTGGTTTCCAGTAAAAAGTCCAATAGTTTAATGATAAGACACATTGGCTGCTACACTGTTATCAAGTGATTATTATACCATCAACAAGCAGCTAATATCCGATGGGGAAATAGCAAATTATATGTGACCATGTAAGATTTTGTGCAGAATGCAAATCCGAATTCTTCCAGTCTACACCATTTCAGAGAACTTGACATGAAATGAATGCATTTGGCATTGTTCTTCAGTATCCTTATGCTATACAATTATATGCTATACAATTATATGCTATGTATTTAAACCTAGAGCCTAATTCTCATATATATTTTCATCTCTTTACCTGGGATCTACAAATAACAGACAACTCCAGAACAGTTATTTTATATAGCTTCAAAAAATTAGGAGTTAGATGCAGTATACCTAAGCACAGTGATCCTGTCTGTAAATATGTCTGTAAATGTACTAGATCTCAGCTCTCATTTCTATTGTGAAAAGAACACTGGAAATGTTCTTATTCAAAGATACAACTTTATAAACATTGGAAAGAGAGACCATGATTGATGACGTCTTAAATTTTTCATAGGTATATGTCTCCAGGGGAAATAGAATTATTTCAATCACAGATCAGGAGTCATTGTAACACAGTGATTGATTTTGACACCGTAAGATTATTTATTGGCAAAGCATCTGCATGGCATTGGAAAAACTAGCAGAATTCACAACAGCACTCTAGTTTTCTAATTAAGTGTGGCCAGGTTAGTGAATTACTCCTTCACCTGTATTTTAAATTTTACATTACAACTTCATCATCTTTAATTTTTCCTTTAATGAAGGTTTACATTTTCAGAGCATATGCTTGTACATATTAATGCATATGAAGCATATGTGACAATTATGCATCTCTCTCTCTCCCCTCCACCCCCCAACCCCTTTCCATCCATAATGAGTGAGAGATTATTCTCCTGCTTGTGAAATCAGATGTTATAGGTTCAATTGTATTGTGCTCACAGGCAAGCAAGAAAGGGAGCAGGGAGATCTGCGTGCTGCAGGAATACCCTTTCCCAGGCAGGTACAGGCTGAAGCAAGGCTGATCTCGCACTTATTCAGTCATGTGGTGAGAGCTGGAAATGCAGTGTTGGTCTTGGTGCTTATTTTGAAAAGTTAATGGGTTTCCCAACTCTTCTGATCCCGGCTATCTTTTACACTCCCATCACTGTTCTCCATCCCACCAAGCCACTAGTATCACTTGCATCTTACCTAGAGCGAGGTTCCTTAACCCTGATCTCAGGCCTATTTTTGTCCACACTAAGTTTGGCATATGGGTGGGATGTGGGACCAACTGAAATTAAAATAAATGTCAGGGTATTAAGAGACTGAATGTAAAAATACAATGTAAATATTGTGGACAAAGCTATCCTCCCAGTCTTGTAGCTCTAGAGGCAATCAGCTACAAGAGAAATAAATGTGGTCTCATTGAGCTTCTTGAGCTACTTGAGAGAGCATGTCCTTGCAGGAGAAGAAGCATTTACTCTCAACCATTTTGAGGTCTCAGAGAGAGAAGGAAAGCCATGCTACATCTGCAAGAGCTGTGGGGAGCTGGTGAGAAGAAGGGCCGCTGTGGAATTTCTAGATCTGTGTTCATTCAAAACAAAAGTGAGAAGGTCTGGACTTGCAGCTACTTGGAGATTCCTTACCATAACTCTCCAAACAGTTTTTACAAGAAACATGAAAGGTTCAATATTTGCTCATTTTTGCTCAAAAAAAACAGTGAATGACATTCTAACAACACATTTTAATAACAAATACATAATGGTACTCTTCTTGCAGAGACAATGTCTGTCTCTTTGAATCACGAACCCAGTTTTCTCCACATTTGCCATCACCAATGAAATGGCCAGGGGCAACCATGAAATGTGGCACAAAATACTTCCAGAAGCTGAGACAGATTGTGAGCATTGTAGTCTCAGCTTGTCCAGAGAAAAGCTGCAACATGAACTCTCCTCTCAGAGCAGCCAAGGAAGAGATGCTTCAGATTAACTAAGTTCATCATTCTTGTAAGAAAATTGCTGACATCGCTTTGTTCTGATGCAAACAGAGACCCTGTTTGTCTCCTGAATACTTATTAGATTACAAATGTATTTATAAATCAGTTGATTTGATTCAAACTGAACCTTTTGAGTCTGGAGCTCACTCTCTAAGGCTTTCTGCTTCAGTTATCCAAGTTTAATTGAAAACTACTTCACACTGACCTATGAGGTTAAAAGGAGTATTTAAATTTACTTCAACAGCAGGTGAAAGTAAAAAGCTGACTTTTACTCTAGCTCTAGAAAATTCTGTACAGCTTTTCTGTAGGAAGGACAATTTTCTCAGAGACCCTTCAAAGACTGATCTTTGTCTTACTAAATTTTGCAGATGGATCATCAAAGTCAGGCCCTCGGCCTGTTTTCAACACCTGAGTACCTTCTGTCTGATCCTGCCACCAGAACCTGTCCTCATTGCACTGAGGGTCAGCTGACTCCTGCCACAAATGGTGGCGGTGAAGGAGGATGGTCACACTGGAGTGGTGGTTCAGGAACAACCCCGGTCCCACACTGTAGGAATACACGACAGCATTTCTTGGTTATCTGGGAAAGCCATGGACACATGACTGTTTTACTCACTCTTTCTTCTCCTTTTTTTCATCTCTGTGATGTGTGCAACCGTAGCCCAGCCTCCTGCCCTTACCTCCAAACCTTCTCCTGCAGGGAGGATGAGGTTTATTTTGCACCGGTTCCTTCTGCTGATTCCCCACAGGTTCCCAGTGTTCATAACAGGAGCAGAAAGGGATTAATGCTGCTCATGGCTACTACAATCTGTACTTAATTGAAACAGTTTCTTACCTTGGGATCAAACACTGATGAATCATCCTCTTTTTTACTCTGCTTTAGAAACTAGATAATTTATATGGTTATATCTTCATTGAATATTAATATTTTTTTCAGTAACACAACATATTTGAAAAATAGATTCAGAAATCAGCAAGATAAAAGGGTATAGTTTCAGCAAAATTAAATGAATTCTAATATTACTCCAACTACCAGTTTTTTAGTAGTTATGTTAAATAGCTTTTACAAATCCATAATAACACTATCTTCTTCGTTATTTGCACTTGCTGCATCTTGTTGTATCTCTCTCCATCCTCACACATCTTCAACAGAAGTTCACGACCTCTCCAGAAGTCTTTCAAGTCCTCAAAAATTTTGCTTATGACTTTTCTGCTTTTTGTTTACTCCACGACTTTTAGGAGACTTCATTCTAAATCCTTAAATCATATATGAGACCCTGCACAACAACTTGTAAAAGCAAGTTGGCATTTTTGGAACAAACAACCATGAATTTTGGTCTTGGATGTAGCATTGTGTATGGTGAGATAAAAGTAAAGAAAAAGAAATTGCCTGAGGACGAAATCACTGGGAGATGTAAGGAGTTCAGATGCTCAAATAAAGCAGAAAAAGAGTAGAGAAAGGGAGAAAATAGCAAGGACAGTCTTCCGTGTTGCTTTGATAATCACTTGAAGTAAAATATCTTTCTATGGTTTGGCTGTCTTCTTTTCCAGTTTTGAATCATATATGCAATTTTTTTAAAACTCTCAAGTTCTAAATTCATGTCTGAGACAAGTTCATTTTTAAGTAGGTCACTTCCTGCCAAATCATTCAACTGGAAAGATAAAAAAAGTGTGAAATGAATTTATGGGGGTCATTTATTACACAGACGTTTTACAAAAGTATCTGCCTAACCAAAGAAGGGCTATTTGTGCTAGAATTCAAACGTGTCTCCTAAAGAGGAAGGTGACGGAGTTGCTGGTGGATGCTATGGAAACCTGAGACTTTTTCATCAGATTGCATGTGAGGCTATTTTATCTGTTTGGTTTTGTTGCCTCACTGTCATCCTTTCCCACTCACTCCATGCTGACTTCTGAGAAATTTTAAAACCTTGCCACAACTGACGCAAATGCTTTAACAAGCCGTGAACCCCGCCTTCATCGGCAGAAAGAAGGGGGGGACACTCTCACAGCATGTCTTGGGGGGCCACCTCCATGCCCAAGGAAATCAAAGAAGCCTCCTCTCCCCCCGCAGCCCTCACTGCTTGATGCAAAGTCCCTGATATGGTGGGATTTATGTTTAGGTTATTTGCATCTGTTTCTTCTAGAATTCCTTTTGATGTACATGATGAAAGACTCGAGAGCATTTGCGAAGGGCTGGAGGATAGAGCAGGAACATCACAGAGCCTTGGGTTGGGCTGAGGACAGTCTCCCTCTTGAGTGTTTGGGCCCTGGCTGC